CCTACCTTCCCCTTCCCCTCCTGGTATCACTACTCTCATTATCAATCCTGAGGGGTTTATCTGTCCTGGATTTCCTGTTTCCAGCTCTTATCTGTACTTGTAAATATGCCCTGGTCTAGCTGGATTCGTTAGGTAGAATTGGGATCATGATTGGAGGGGGTGGCAGAGCATTAAAGAAATAGAGGAAAGTTGTATGTTTCATTGGGGCTGTACTGAACCCTGACAGGCTTGTCTCTTCCTTGTGACCCTTCTGTTAAGCGGATGGGTTTGGGTCTCCACTCTGCACTGCCCTGCTATTGAGTCTTTGATACCCTAGAGCCTTCATTCACAGAGCTGCACCCTTGAAACATACTCTGCAGCTTAGAATGTAGATTCGCTTGGTTTGAGGATCTTGTGGCCCACTGCTTGGGGGGATTATTATACAGTGCGACACTGAAAGCCCTGTTCCTACCTGATGTTTACTGAGAGTCAATTATGTTGATGATAAGTCATTTATAACTGTGGCTTGAGTAATCACCAATTAAAATTTCCCCCTTAAAACCTGAAATATATGTAGCGATTGCATCTAATAATGTTTTTCTGTTTTAGGGCAAATCATAGTGGTGATTTGGGTAATCGTTTCTCCAAACAATGATAAGCAGAAGTATACGCTGAAAATCAGCCATGACTGCGTGCCAGAACAGGTGATTGCCGAAGCAATCAGGAAAAAGACTCGCAGTATGTTGCTGTCATCTGAGCAATTAAAGCTCTGTGTTTTAGAATATCAGGGCAAGTATATTTTAAAAGTATGTGGATGTGATGAATACTTCCTAGAAAAATATCCTCTGAGTCAGTATAAGGTAAGTAACACTTTTTAACAATAATGATTTTAAATTTAAAAAGTAGTCACACTAGGGAACAGTATTCATATTTTTAGGGCATACTTTTTGAAATATAAATAATCAATATTACTGAGCAATATTTTAAAAGATTTTTTGTCAGTTATTTAATTTGCGAGACTGAGTATGTTAACAGTTGCCAACACCCTGTTGTTGTTGAGTTGATTCCTATTCATGGAGACCTTCTGAGATCAAGTAGAACAGCCCCATTGGGTTTCCATGGCCATACTCTTTACAGAAGCAGACTGTCACAGGACTAGTAGATTCAAACCACTAACCATTCAGTTAGCTGCCACATGCTTTAACCATTGTGCTACTGGGACTCCTTGGCTTTTACACTGTCCCCCAAACATGGGTTGTTTCCTGATTTTTCTCTCCTCATAAAGCAATGTCACAGGAATGTAATTAAAATAGACATTAATTTTAAATCTATTCTGTAATTATTAAAATTTACTATTAATACTGTCTTACTGTTTGAATTTATTTGTTAAATAAATAAGAACCATTATGTATGTATCAAGCATTATTTTATATCTGAGACAAGCATTATGTAAAAATAATTCTGCTTTCAATTTTTAATGCTGTAGTAGGAGATTCTGACTAAGAAAGACGATTGTAATATGTGTACAGTAACACTTACATCGAAACTGTCTTAACTAACATTTCAAAATTCAGACCAATGATAATATATCCATGATTTTACCTGTCTCCTCTTTGTGGCTTTTCTATTGTATTTTAGGTTTTAATAAATCAGGAGATACTTTAATCAAAAAGCAGCAATTTGCCGACTGGACATCAATATAACTTAATAGTATCTAGTGACCAAAAAAACCAACAACCAGACTCACTGCCATCAAATTGATTTTGATAGGCACTTATGAGATACTGTTTTTCGTTCAACAAAAGCAGTTGTTATAATGTGTTTTCTCTGCTCCTTGTTTTAATTCCGGTTTCCTATTTATTTCCATTTAAGAGTTGAACTATAGATTGACTTTAACTTTTTTTTTTTACATATATATAATTTGAATTCATAAGCACTTGTTTGATCCTGTGCTGAACCTTATTCCCAAATGGTAATACTTTCGATGCTATAAATATAGCAAGTGTTATGAAACATGGTTTGATTTATAATGTTTGATTTTTGTTAACTTAGTGTGTAAATTCTCTCATATCCTCCTACATATTGCTTTTAAATGAATAGCCTTACAGGGAATTGCTTTTCCCTCCTTCTGTGATCTCTTACAGTATATACGAAGCTGTATAATGCTTGGAAGGATGCCCAATTTGATGCTGATGGCTAAAGAAAGCCTCTACTCCCAGCTGCCAATGGACTGTTTCACAATGCCATCTTATTCCCGACGCATTTCCACAGCGACACCGTATATGAATGGGGAAACATCAACAAAATCCCTTTGGGTTATCAATAGTGCACTAAGAATAAAAATTCTTTGTGCAACCTATGTGAATGTAAATATTCGAGATATTGACAAGGTAAGGTCAAATGCTGATGCTTATAATACATTAAAAGACTTATATAAAAAGTATATAAGCCTTTTTTATTGAACAATAGTAATAATCTGTTAACCTACAGCATGGTGTTTTCAGATGGCTAGAAAAACACCCAAATCTCTGAAAGTATACATGCAATATATAGTTAATTCTATTTGGGTTTCTGTATACCTCAACTTTTACATAACTCATAAGTCTTTTCATAATTCTGATGCCTATAATTTTAATGTAATAATTAAATTATCCATAGTCTTAAGCTTTTAAAACCAAAAATTGTAGAGAATTAATTTGGCAGCAAAATATGACCCACCCTGGGCTTTTTTTATAGTCTTTATTTATCCTACCTGTAAATATTTCTGTGCTTTGTACAGAAATATTATTGTTTTTGTGGGATCTGAAGAATTCTGCATTCTTCATATCTGTCCTACAAGGTTTTAGGAGAGAAAGTCTGTGAGCCTATATTAACCTTTAGTAGTCTGATGGCCCAATTCTGAATGAATCAATCTGCCAAAAAAATTTTTTTAATCGTTTTATTAGGGGCTCATACAACTCTTATCACAATCCATACATGCATCAATTGTGTAAAGCACATTTGTACATTCATTGCCCTCGTCATGCTCAAAACATTTGCTCTCCACTTAAGCCCCCGGCATTGGGTCCTCATTTTTCCCCTCCCTCCCCACTCCCCCCTCCCTCATGAGCCCTTGATAATTTATAAATTTTTATTTTGTCATATCTTGCCCTGTCCGACGTCTCCCTTCACCCACTTTTCTGTTGTCCGTCCCCCAGGGAGGAGGTCACATATAGTTCCTTGTAATCAGTTCCCTCTTTCCTACCCACTCTCCCTCTACCCTCCCAGTATCGCCACTCACACCACTGGTCCTAAAGGGATCATCCGCCCTGGATTCCCTGTATTTCCAGTTCCTATCTGCACCAGTGTACATCCTCTGGTCTAGCCAGATTTGCAAGGTAGAATTCGTATCATGATAGTGGGGGTGGGGAGGAAGCATTTAGGAACTGGAGGAAAGTTGAATTTTTTATTGTTGCTACATCGCACCCTGACTGGCTCTTCTCCTCCCCGAGACCCCTCTGCAAGGGGATCTCCAGTGGCCTACTAAAGGGCTTTGGGGTCTCCACTCCGCACTCCCCCCATCATTCACTATGTGCCAATAAATATTGTTGAAGAATCTTATATCATTCTTACCCAATTATATGTGTGAAAAAACCAACCAACTGCCATTGAGGCAATCACAACGCAGATCAACCCGATAAGGCAGAGTAGGGCTGTTCCCTAGGTTTTCTGAGACTTTAAGCCTTTACACATAGAGACAGCCTCGTCTTTCTCCCTCAGAGCAGGTGCTGCCGACCCTGCCAGCTAGCAGCCCAATACGTGCCCTCTCCTCCACGAGGGCTCAATGCTTGTGTGAAGAAAAGGAAAACTGAAATGTCTACCAAAATTGAATAGGTTCCCTCATACATATCAGTTACATTTTATATTGCTTGGTATTTGGTTCAGTGTAGCATGTATGTATGTGCTTATGTGTCTGTTTGAGTGTGCGTGGGGGTGTGAGGTGTGGGGGTGCCTGTATTTATATAACCGATTATCATTTGATTGTCATTGAGTAGACTTTATCTCATTGTAACCCTTTAGGACAGAGTAGAGCTGCCCTTGGATTTTGCATTGGTACCTTTTCTCTCTCTCTCTCTCTTTAGATCTATGTTCGAACAGGTATCTACCATGGAGGAGAACCTTTATGTGACAATGTAAACACTCAAAGAGTACCTTGTTCCAATCCCAGGTAAGAAAATATGTGGCATTGTAGTTTTAAAGGACATTTTAGTATTTGACAAAATAATAGCAAAAGTAATGTTTATTACTTAAATCATATAAATTATCTGACACATAAATATAAGGACTTTCTGTCCAATGAATGTCAATCACAGGATCACTTTATTCATTATATTTAAAACTGTATTAGAAAGTTCCTTTTGATTCCAAGTATAGAAGATAGTTGAAGTTCTGTGCTGACGGTTCAGTATATTGGATCCATAAGCCTAGAGTTTTATTCTTTTCTGACCTTCCGCTCATTTACATGGAAAAGTGAGGTATAGCAAACAACTCCAGGTCCTCTGAGGTGATTTCCTTCTAATCCACCAGAAGAGATCATTGTGACGTACATTATGGCATTTGGAAACAAATCAGTTTATTTGTGAGGGAAAATATTATTGGGGATAGTTTTAAGTTATTACCAACTAGATATAATGAGATAAAAGGTCGTATAATCTAACAGCTGGCCATCTTGCCATTTCTTTGTCTTTTTCCATAAAGTCATTTGGGAATAAGAGTCAGTCTTATGAATATAATAGAAATAATAGTTTAAAGAAACAGATTGGTATCGAAGATTAAAGATTAAAGGGAACAGCAATAGAACTAAGGGACTAAATCTCATCATGAATTTAGACTGAGTGCTTGGAAAATCTATTTTAAAAAATGTAGATGTTAGGATTAAGTGGCTAGTGGGAACTACCCTTCTAGAACCTGAGTAAGGTTCAAAGAGGCAGCAGCCCTCCTTAAGCAAGAAGAAGGGAGGTAGTATCAGAGCCCAGCCATCCTTGTAAGAAAGAGACTGGTGAGCTCCTGAAACTAAAACCCTCAACCACCTTTTAGGTCTGGAATTGTACTCCCCTTGCGAGCTCAATTTCCAGCTAAATAATAGGTCTGTATAGGGAAACAATAACACTGGGGGATATACACAACTTGGAATAATCAATCATTTGAGATCAAAAGGGCAGCAATTACCCAAGGACAAAGTTCAGAAGGGTTAGGAAAAAAAGGAATGGAAACAGGGAGGAAATCCATGATATTGCATTGAGGACTACAATGAATGAGATGAAACCAAAAACGAAGGGAAAGTTTCTCATCCTTCATGAACCAGAAAGTACTTCAGGTTAGAAATTATGCTATGGCAACAAACAACTCCAAAATCTTTGTTAAAGCAACATGAGTTTATTTCTTGAAGCATACTGCTTGTCTGTCAGGTTGTGAAGAAAGAATGTAATTGTGGGAAGGAATAGAAAAGCAATACACATGGTGTTTACAAATTTATGGACTACTATAAGCACATTAATACGAGGAGTTCAACAGGCCCGAAGCAAAAATTCCAAAATAGTATGAAGTAGACTTATCCTAGGTGTTTCAAGTAACCAAAATAAACTTAGCTTTACATTAAAAAGCAAGCTAATTTATTATGATTTAAATGTTGGTATTTAAAGCATAAATTCAGGAAGGGCTTCTTTTTCTTTCAGGAATCCTCTTCTTAGTCTAAAGCATGAGTATCTTAGGTAGTATGCCTTGAGACTTTAAGTAAAGTTTTTTTTAATTTTATGTGTTTACAAAAGCAAAAAAAAAAAGAGAGAAATTAATCCAGAGCTTTTATAGTAGCTTGAACAAATCATTGCTGAATCTAAGTGTTTGTTCCATATGCTCCCCCCCCCAACATGCTAAGTAAATCTGATATACTAATGGTTTCCCCTGAAATATTACTAGTTCATCTTCCCAAATAAGAATGAGTGTACTGAAAAAAAAGAATGAGTGTACTATTTGTAACCAGGAGTGGACTTTAGAAGAAGAGAGAAGCATGCTTTGTTAACAGAATATTGAACAACTGGAGTACTAAAATAAAACTTATTTGAACATATAGAATATGTTCTATGAATTATGAGCAATTCGAAAGATTTAGTAATAGTAAATATTCCTAAGTATGTTAGAATAGATCTCTTTAATTTTTCTTAAATCACAGTGGACTTTAAAGTGCCACAGCATTTTTCTCCTCCCAACATTTTTTTAACAACCGTTGTTGTTATTATCTTTAGAATTAATGCTAGGTTCCCCTACTTATCTTTGCCTATAATCAAGCAAAGATGAGAGATTAAATAGAATTTATTTTACCAATGAAGTTTATACCTTAGTTTGGCAAGTTCAAAATGAAATTATCAGACCATTTTATTGTTAATTTAGCTTTAGTCTGTTCATAGTCAAAGAATAGAAGAGCGTTATTAAGAAGGCATTTGAAAAGTTTTCCAAGTTAATTATAGCTAATCACTTTACTAATGTTATATCATGTAATCCTCACAATAACCGTATGAAGGTAGGTGTAGTTGTTAGCCCATTTCACAAATGAGGAAATAGTGATGGGGGGAGGAGGGCCAGACATTCGGTGAAACCTTCAGACTACTACGCACAGTACGACTTAAGAGTCATTAATCTTGACTGTTGCTATGATGTATTTCACAAATAAACACTATTGTTCTCTTTACAAATCATATACCAAATATAGACATTATTTCACATGTAGTATTCAGTAAAGTGAAGGGACTGTGCCATAAAATTGTGGATAATTTCTTTCTTTTTTTAAAATCATTTTATTGGGGGCTGTGAATAATTTCTTATGTCTCTTTTGTAGTAACTTTTTCCTCATTATGAACATCATTATATTGCACCTTGTGAAGTGGTTTTCCTTTTCAATTTTTTTTTAAATTTATTAAATACTTTTATTGGGGGCTCTTGCAGCTCTTATCATAGTCCATACATTCATCCATTTTCAAGCACATTTGTATATATGTTGTCATTCTCATTTGCAAAGCATTTTCTTTCTACTTGAGCCCTTGATAGCAGCTTCTCATGTTATTTTCCCTCCCTACCCCACTCTCCTGCCCTCATGAACCCTTGATAAATTATAGATTATTATTTTCATATCTTACATCATCCTCTGTCTCCCTTGACCTATGTTTCAGTTGTTCTTCCCCTGGGAGGGGGCTGTATGTCAATCCTTGTGATTGATTCCTCCTTTCTCCCCTCCCCTTCCCCTTCCCCTCCTGGTGTCACTAGTCTCATTACTGGTCCTGAGGGGTTCATCTGTCCTGGATTCCCTGTGTTTCCAGCTCTGATCTGTACCTGTGTACATGCTCTGGTCTAGTCAGATTGGTAAGGTAGACTTGAGGTCATGATAGTTGGGGGGCAGGAAGCCTTAAAGAATTAGAGGGAAAAGTATATTTCATCAGTGCTACACTGCACCCTGACTGGCTCATCTGAAGTAGTTTTTCTTTCATTCTGTGTACTTTCTAGTTTAATTGGCTCTTCTGAATAAAACTATATAATATATCAAAGTAATTAAATATAGTTGTAATCATAATATGAATTCTCATTGTCTCTTGTTTTGTTTCTCTATATTATTTGTCTTTTAAGAAATTTCTCTTGTACAAATGTACAAAAAGTATACAGATCACAATTGTACAGCTCAGTGAGCTTTCACAAAGTGAGGACCTATATAAACCCCAGTGTTAGTCAAGACAGAACATTACCATCGCTCCTAAAGCCCCTTCCCAATCCATTAACTTTTTCTTTTCCCCCACATAACCAATATCTTGACTTCTAGCAATAATAATTTTACCTGGTTTTGAATATTTTATAACTAGATTAAAGCAATAGGAGTCTTTTGTGCCCAGCTCCTTTCATTCAATATTGTGTTGATACAATTCATCTGTGTTGTAAATAACTGCTGTTTATTGTCATTAGTATCCTATTCTTTAGTCTATTGTTGGATATGTTGGTTATTTGCAGTTTGCAGATATTATAAGTAATTCTGCTATGAATATTCCATGTACCATTACACACATTTCTGCGACTTTGTGTTTGTAGTTAGAGCTACATTCGATGCCATTGAGTCAGTTTTGACCCATGGCAACCCTAAGCACAACAGAGCGAAACACTGCCAGGCCCTGAGCCATGCTCACATTGTTTTTATGCTCGCGCCCATTGTGGGAGCCTCTGGGTCAGACTCTCTGTGAGGCCTTCCTCTCTTTTGCTGCCCCTCAGATTTACCAAGCATGAAGTCCTTCTCCGGGGACTAATGTCTCTTGATAACATGTCCAAAGTATGCCAGAAAAAGTCTTGCCATCCTAGCCCTAAGGAGCACTGTGGCCATTCTTCTTAAAAAATAGAAATTAGAGCTGGTAGTTTTAGTAAATTCTACTTTCCAAATGAGTTGTTAACAAATGACACCAGCACTGACATGTATGCACCGTGCTGTTGCTACCCATCCTTCCCACCCTTTGTTCCATCCCGTCTTTCTAACTATAGCCCCTCTCCTGTCCTCTGGGATTTCTTTTAAGATTTTGGTTGGTACGTCCTAGATGGCAAACAAATAGCATTGCCTCTTTATTTGTGGCCTCCACTTGAATATGCATTGTGAACTGCCTGTTCTTGTCAGTCTCTTGCCTATTTTATTTTGGTTTGGTTTTTTTCCTTTTGTTGTTGTTTGTTTTTGGTTTTTTTGCTTTATAGGAATTGTTTACATGTCTAGATAAAGCCTTTTTTTTTGATAAATTCTTTGTCTTTGAACTTTTCCATAGGTGGAATGAATGGCTGAATTATGACATATACATTCCCGATCTCCCCCGCGCTGCCCGGCTTTGCCTTTCCATTTGTTCGGTGAAAGGCCGCAAGGGCGCGAAGGAGGTAAAGGGTCCAGAAGGGAGCATGCAACTGACTTCTCAAAGTCCCATGACTCTGTGGGTTGAATTTTTCTTGAAAAACAAAAATTATTTTTCTCTATTTAAATAAAAGTTTGCAAATCAAGTATTTTGGAAGTTTAATAAATATGTGAATTGCAGAATATCTGAGGCCAGTTTATTTATGATGAGAGAGTTACGAGTTCACTCTAATCCAGTTCTTTAAATATAAAAATACCACAAGCAAATATCTGTTATGTGTTTGCATACAAATGTGTGTCATGCATGCTTTCCAACTTATAAATAAAATACGTGTAATTTCTAATGAAAAAGAGGAAAGAACATGTTTGTAGTTTGAGAAATTAGGATGACCTTTTGTAGATGTCAAAGTCAGATTATTATAGAAAGAGTGGGTTGTTGAGTTCTTCTCTCTAGGGAAGTGCATGTCATTGTGAAATGCTTTATTTATCATTTGATGCCAGGGAGTGAATATTTTTCTCTGGTTTTTAGGAACACTGTCCATTGGCCTGGGGAAATATAAACCTGTTTGATTACACAGATACTCTCGTATCTGGAAAAATGGCTCTGAATCTTTGGTCAGTACCTCATGGATTAGAAGATTTACTGAACCCTATTGGTGTTACTGGATCAAACCCAAATAAGGTAAGTTTTTATTTCAAAATGCTTTTTTAACATAAATGAGAACATTTTCCCCTTTTTTTGATAATCAAGCACAATATATATGGTAACATCTTTTCCTTCTCATAGGAAACTCCATGCTTAGAACTGGAGTTTGACTGGTTCAGCAGTGTGGTAAAGTTTCCAGATATGTCTGTGATTGAAGAGCATGCCAATTGGTCTGTGTCCCGAGAAGCAGGATTTAATTACTCCCATGCAGGACTGGTAAGGCCGGTCACTGAGGTTGCTTATGTGTGTTAGCCCTCATCCCGGGATTTCGGTATACGTTCTTTGTACTGGAAAGGTTTTGTGTATGTTCAGTATACTGGCAGAGATACCAGGGGCTCCTGGACAGCTAGGCATTGTTATATAGTTTTCTATTTATGAGTATCATTCACTGCAGTTTTAACTCTTAAATAATTTACTCAGGGTCCTAGCCTTCCCTCATTCACTTAACAAATACTTATTGAATGCTAACTATATATAATGCATTGTGAGACACATTAGCTAATAGAGTTGTGGAAAAAGCAAATCTACCTTATGTTTATAATGTAGTGGTAAAAATCGGCATTAAACAAGTTAAAGCACATAGTAGGACTATAAATCACAGTAGATGTCATGAATGAAAGAGACAGATGTATACCTGGAAAGACTAACTGAGGGTCAGAAGGGAAAGGCTAAATTCATATATGTTGGGATTCAGAAAATACATCTCTGAGACAGTATATTTGAAGTTGAGACTAAAGTATATCTATATTGTTGATCTTTTTCATATACTGAAATGTCGAACTTTGAGGTAGAGGAAATGGCAAAATCTTTGCATTATAGTCTAGACGTCCAGAAAAGAGTATGTATGTAACTTGAATCATTGATCTGGTTAACTTGGCCATAACCTTGGAACCACAATATAGCTGGGCCTAAAGGCTATTAATTCTTCCTTACTTTTCAAGGCCAAAGGTGTCAGTGTTAAGGCAAAGGGATATTTTTACTCTTTGGTATCTCTTTCTCCCCGTTTCCAAATGTATCACTTTTTCTTTGGCCTGTTTGGATATCACAGATAGTTTAGCCAAGGAACAGAGGGGCCAAGAGGCCCTAAAATAAGCCAACCCCAGAAACAAGACCACAACAGTATAAAAGCACCCAGATGCAGCCTGGAATACTGCACTTAGGAACTTCATTCATTCACAGCTAGTGGTCCCAGTAAGGAATATACCAATCCTGTGGGTAAACTGAGTTATACCAATATCTTTACTGTATATATACTGTTAGCAGTACATATGTAGAAGCTATTTTGGCAAGTACAAATGAATATAAAATCTTTACTTTTGGAAACTGATGGTGGTAGCAAAATACTGCTTGATGTGATTGAACTACTAAATGATATATGTATTAACTCCCAATTAATAAATAAATAAAAATCTCAAGAACTCATTACTGAGTTCAATAGGATAATAAAACCAGTTCATTTTATTGGTATTTAAAAGTACATATTTTAATTGAAAAACATAACCACTATACTGTAAGCTTAATTCCCTGTTGGTAATAATCCTAGCATTTATTTTGTGTTTACCTTGTACCAAACACTGTACCAATCACTTTTTATATATTATCTTATTTAATTTTAGTAACAGCCTCTGTGAATCTGGGAACTATTTTAATCTCTGCTTTTTAATCCTATTCTGTTGTATCAGTAAAAAATCCAAGACTTACAGAGTTTAAATAACTTGTACAGTGTTACTGTTTAATAAGTGGTATATCTCTTACACTTAACTATTCTGGAGTAGCAAAACAGGAATTCTTAAGTTATGACATAGGGTTTAAAATCCTGATAGACATTTTCATAAAAGTTCTGTTAAAAAAAATCAAAAGACTGCATTCACTGCCATCGAGTCAGCGCTGACTCATTGCAACCCTACAGGACAGAGTAGGACTGCCCGATAAGGCTGTCCATCTTTACACATGCAGACTGGCAGCATGCATATCTTTCTCTTGTGGCTGGTGGGTTTCAACTGTTGACCTTTCCATTAGCTATTATACCACCAAGACACCTTAAAATGCCCATAGCCAATCCAGTTTGTTATGAACTGAATCCAATTAATTAACTGAATTGCAAGCAACAAGTCATTTTAAAACTCACTGGTGAAATATTTTATTCATTTCATAAACACATTGATGTTTTATGTTTCGGAGAAAATTTATAAATTCTTTTATAAAAGAATAAAACCTAACCCTGCCTTTCAATTATCATTTGGGAGAAAAATGTATTATATGAACCTAAGATACATTTGGTTATTAGTTTTCCTTTATCTTCAAATATTTTAGCCCATCATTGTAGGAAATATTTTATCATTGTTTATCCTTTATTCCAAGGATGCTTTTAAAAAAAGGACAGAATAGAGCGATTTACTAATAAAATAATTCTTCACTATTATATCATCCTTAAGCTTTCTTATTGCATTTTTCTCTATATTACAGTATCTTTCCAGAGATACAAAAGAAGACTAGGAACATTGTTTTCTCTTGGCTTTCAATGGAAACAGTTGAGAATTCAGGATGTCTCATTTCTACCCATAATGCCAAAGGGAAGAAAACTAATAGATGTTTCAGCGCAGTTTTTGTGGTAAAATTAGGTGCCTCAGCTGTTATTTTGATCAGCTTATACTCGAGTATATATGGTATTAGACAAATCGTAATATTGATACAAAGTGATACCAGCACTTCCAGAGCAGAGTTTCTCAGTCTCAGCACTATTGACCTTTTTTAAGTGTGGTGGGGGGAGGTGGAGTGCTGGCAAGTAATTCCCTTTATAGAGCCTGTCTTGTGCATTTTCAGTGCTTAACACCATCCATACCCTCAACTCAATAGGTACCAATAGCATCACCGGCAGCCACCCTAACCTGTGACAACCAAAATTTCACCAGACATACTAAAGGTTCTCATTCTTTAATGCCTTTAAAGGTTCTTTAAATGCAGTGGTGAAATTGATCATAAGTTAAATAGAAAATAATGTTATCCTAGGTGAATTTTCTCAAACACTAGAGTTTAGTTCTAAGGCCCTGGAGGAAATAGGATAGTCACATTCAACTAATCCTTCAGCAGGCAGAACATTGCCCTGTACTATTTTATGACAAAATGTGAAGGTGACTAGAATAAACTTAGGTTCATCATTCTGTTTGCTGTATGTAAGCGTTAAAAGAGAAATGTTTTACAGTTATCAAGCTAAAAAGAGGGCCATGCTCTCCTCAACGAAATCATGAGCCCCCAATGTCTTCGAAAGTATTGCTTGTTGTCAATGCAACTACAAAGAAAACCAGAATGGATGATAAACTAGAAGCAATAATATATACTTAGAACCTAGAATCAGTATTCCAGGATTATAAAAGTATAAGGTAATAAAATAATACAAAAGAGTCCATTGACCCAAAATGATAAACAGCATTAGCTATTTAGCTATCACTTCCTGGTAAACTGAGGGTTAAGTATTTGTTAGCTCTTTCCTGGACTATTGCCATTGCCTTTTCACAGGGCTTCCTCCTTCCCCCAAGCAGCCAAAGTAATCTTTATGAGACAAGTCAACTCATGGCATTCCTCTTATAAATAGCTTTCCCTAAAAATAAAACGTTTTTAACTCTGACCTCCAAATTTTACATGCTCTGAATACCACCTCCTGGCACTTCTCTCCATTGTCTACTGGGCTTCAGTCTCACTGCCCTTTTTCCTGTTCCTCTTTCACACTGCACGCTCCCCCTCAGAACCCTTGAACCGTTGTCCTCCACTGAAATAGCCCTTTCCCCTGATCTTAGTATGGATGGTCCCTTCATGTTATTTGGATATCACATAAATGTGACCTTCTGAGAGAGGGCATATGCAAACACCCATTCTAGAGTAGCCATTTACTCCTACTCTGCCACATCACCCTGAGTACTCATATCAACTCTCTGGTATTTTCATAGTGTTTATTTGCCGTCCCCCTAGAACAAAGATTCTCTTAATACCAGACCTTTTGCCATCTTATGGGGCCAACAGCAAGAATACAGTAAGCACACTATGTATGCTTAATAAATACTTCCTGAGTTACTGAGAGCCAGTAAAACTTCTTTATGCTTCTGGTTAAATTAACAGCAGATAAAACTAAGAAACATGACAGTTTGATTTTTCTTTTGTTGTTGTTTGAGGTGCCATCCAATCAATCCAAATCATAGCAGCCCCAGTGACAGAGAAGAACTAGTCCTCCGGGCTTCCGAGACTGCCATCGTTGTGCAGGCAGAGCTCCAGGTCTTTCACACACACGCGGCTCCCAGATGGGTTCAAACCACCAAGGCCCCCGTGAACAGCTGAGCACCCAGCCATTGCACCAGCAGGACTCTCTGATTTAACTTCCAGTCTTCAGAAATATATACAACCCATTCTAAAGAGTTCCTTGTTTTGTATAATGGGTCCATAACTACTCCCCACTCACGATAGAACTAGTATATTTCTATTTGGAGCCCAGGTAGTATAGTGGTTACCCTTTGGGCGACTACTCGCAAGGTCAGCAGGTCAAAACCACTAACCCCTTGTACAGAATGATAAGGCTTTCTACTCCCATTTAGAATTGCCATCTCGGAAACCCACAGGAGCAATTCTACTCTGTCCTATGGGGTCGCTTTGAGTCAGAATTGATTTGATGGCAGTGAGTTTGGTTTGAGTTTGAGATACCTCTATTTAAGTCATAGGGTAATAGGAAGGGACTGCATCAAGAAGAGAAGTTGTTCATGACTAACCTCTAGTATATCTGGTGCCTTATCCTGACTCACCTTGGAAATTACTATCCTAATTAACCAATGATGAGGTTAACCAAGACCAAATTTACTGGCCTTATTGTACAAATGCTGTCTTCAATTGGAGCTTTCCTATCCATGAGAATAAAGTTTTACTATGAGACTACACTCTCTCACAATTAAACAATACAAATCTTATTAAAAGATTATTTTTAATAGATCACTTATGAATCCAGGGGGGGAAATATGATAAAGAAATTATTTTATTTTGCAGAGTAACAGACTAGCTAGAGACAATGAATTAAGAGAAAATGACAAAGAACAGCTTCGAGCAATTTGTACACGAGATCCTCTATCTGAAATCACTGAGCAAGAAAAAGATTTTCTGTGGAGCCATAGGTAAGTGTAAGATGCAAATTCTCTGTCCTTTCTTGTCTTACAGAAAAAGAGCTAACTGTGTCTGGTCCTGCCATGTTACCCCCATAAGTATATGAGTAAATAGGGCATAATTTACATCTTTGGTGTTTGTTGTACAAACATCATCTTTTTTAAAAACTAGGATATATATTAATATTTCTAGAAAAGCACACTGCCTGGTATACTTATCTTGCACCTTAAAAATCCCTAAGACATTCTTAGGATTTGCTTTCTTTAATATAAGAGCCCCTCCGCTTCTCCCCACCCCCCACCAATGGCCTATGCTTTTGGATCAGTATAATTGTGGTTTAGTTGGTCTAGGTCAGAGGTCAGCCAGCAGCGGCTCATGAGCCAGATACAGCTCTTTCGGTATGTACATGTGGCTCTGAAGTAAAATTGAAAAAATTCAGAGGGTATTATTCATATATTGGTGACTTCACTCATTTGTAAACATCTATTATGGCTCTCGAATAATTTTTAAATTATTGTGAGGGACAGGATTGGATCTTCCATTTCGAAAGTTTACTGACCCCTCGTCTAGATATTACAGTATTATAATTTTTAGGAGTTCCTTTTCATTTTTCTTTCTTCCTTAAGTTTCCGTAGAGTAATAGTATAATGACGGAACCTGCTATTTGGTAAATATCCACTAGTATACCTAATAAAGCCATTGCAGTGCATTTCTGCAGAGTCCATTAAAAACATAAATTGTGTCTAGCTACCAGAATTGATCTAGTGATACTTCTTAGGGTTCATCTTGCATAAATAATTAAATAATATGAGCTATATAAAGAATGTTCTAAAATGTATTTATAATTTTGCTGAACTTTTTTGATCAACTTTTTTTTTCCCACTAAATACTTGGCTTCTAGTAGTATTGGGGACTTCCTAGCTATTATAGCTGTGTCTGAGTGTGTATGAGGAGGGTCTCAAGAAATTCAAAATGGACGTTTAATTCCACTTTCCACAAAATTTTTGAAGCACTTTTATATATGTAAATATCTATCAAATTAAATGCAGACTTCTTCTGATGGTTTAAGAAAGCTAGTCATGGTAAGAATGATTTTTAAAATGTCTAGAACTTCATAAAGATTGTGTAATAAGACAAGATCTAGAAATCTAGGCCTTTAGAATAACATCAAGAATGTATTTTGTTTTGCCTTTCCCATCCAGACACTATTGTGTAACTATCCCTGAAATTCTGCCCAAATTGCTCCTGTCTGTTAAATGGAATTCTAGAGATGAAGTAGCCCAGGTAAATGTATGCTTGATATTACTGAGTAAGTATTATGCAAAGATGGTCTCACCTAAAATCTTTTTTTATCAGAAACTCTGGAAAAACATAAAAGATGAAAGAGACTATGTTTTGAGTTCATTAATAAGGGTAATACAGTGGAACAAAGTATCATTCATGCTGCTTCCATAGATAAAATTACTCCAAATGGAATATTTTCAGCACTATGTTAATAATGGGTCTTTATTTAAATTAATGCTAAAATAAGTTACGACAGTGTTTTATAGGATTCATTGAAAACTGTCTTTGCGTGTCCAGTCTGACTGTGGCTGTTCACATGCAGATGTACTGCTTGGTGAAAGACTGGCCTCCGATCAAGCCTGAACAGGCCATGGAACTGCTGGACTGTAATTACCCAGACCCCATGGTTCGAGGTTTTGCTGTGCGCTGTTTGGAAAAATATTTAACAGATGACAAGCTTTCTCAGTACCTAATTCAGCTAGTGCAGGTAAAATAGCAAGGTTGTATTCTAAATCCATGCTACCTCCAAAACCCACTCACTGTATTAACTGATGATGTATTTTTTTCACAGACACACACAAAAATTCATTTTATTTAAAGTAGTGTTTACTCTCTGAAAATGTACTTTAACTCCAGCGCTGCAAAGACATTGCCTGGTTTATGTGAAATTGTCTTATTTTTCAATCACATAGGTCCTAAAATATGAACAATATTTGGATAACCTGCTTGTGAGGTTTTTACTTAAGAAAGCTTTGACTAATCAAAGGATTGGACACTTTTTCTTTTGGCATTTGAAGTAAGTCAACTTACTTTCCCATTCATTTTATGTTAGCGTAGTTACTCTCTAAATGTGTGTGTGTGTATTCAGCATAATATAATGTGTTGTATATGCAAATACCACGTGTTATATATGTAAGCACATGGTACATATGTAAGCACATGGTACATATGTACTTTTGGGTTTGGTTAACTGAAAAAGTTTCCCAGACATAAAACATTGCTACCAGAAATATTGCTCCAAAATAATAGAGGCATTTATGCAACAAAAATATCAAAATGTGAGATTATGGCTTCTTAACATACCCTCCCTCTGGCTTTGTATGCTTCTTAAGCAGTGTTCCCATCTCTCAAGCCTTCCAAAGCGTTCTGTGCTCTTTCATGTACACAGTGTCAAAATGGCAGTTTGAGTGTCCTCTGGGATTAAATCACGTGACTCTTCAATGTTCTTTGAGTGTTGGGAATAGAAACTGTAAAGGGAAAAAAACAAGGCTGTAGGGTAGATGAGATAAGGTTTTCCAGGAAAATTTTCCTTGACAGCCCCTGGCAAGAATGTGCCCAGTGCATCATAGTAATGGAAAGAAAGTCCTTGGGGCAACTTGCCTTTTTCTCACCACTGCAGTTTTCAGTTTTCCCAGCACTTCATAATAAACCCTCATGTGGGTCCTGCATCCTTTGGAGGAAAGAAATCTATCAGGATTACCCACTTTTAGGAAGAACTAGATGGGGTCCAGGTTCCACTATCAACTAACTACTCTGAAATGGATCACAATAGAAGATCTTGAGTAGAGTGGGAGAAAAATGTGGAACAAAATTCGAAATTATGAAAGAGAGAGAGCAACAGGTGGGACCACCAAGACTATGACTCCTTCGTCACCCTTTAGTTCTTGAACTGAACTCACACCGTGTTAGAATAGCCCCCCCCCC